TGTTCTTATCCCCATTTTTCAGATGAGGACACTAAGACTTAGTCTGAGACATGCTACCATAAAATAGATAGGTGTTAATTTGGCACAGGCAGGATTAAAAAGCCAGATCTGTCTGGCTCAAGCTGGGGTTTGCTGATCTCATGTCCTGTGGGTCTCCCGTAGCCACAGCCAGGCTCAGAAGAAGACACACAGTTAAGGAATATAGGGAACAGTAAATCCAGGGGGAGAGAGAAAGTGGAAGGCAGCTTCATAGAATGAGATTTTTACCTGGTTCTGGGCAAGAAAGATGGATTTAGAAAGATGGAAGGAACCAGCCAAAGAGGTATTTATAATACATGTAACAAATGATTCAAATCCAGCATAAATCTATAAATCAAGAAGAAAAAGACAAACCACCTATAGAAAAATGGGCAACAGATATGAAAAAGCAATTCCCCAGGGAGGAAGCCAGGTGACCAAGACATTTTAAAGTGGAGCTGCATGACAGCATGGGTAGGGTGGGGCTTTTCGAATTTCATGTGCATTCAGATCTCCTGGCTTTCTTGTAAAAATGCAGATTCTGGTTTGGTAGGTGTGGGGTGAGACCCGGGAGTCTGTATCTCTAACTGGCTCCCAAGCGATGTGGATGCTGCTGGTTCACAGACCACATTTCTGAGCAGTGAGGTCACAGGTAAGGATAAGAGTGTATTCTTCAGCCAGCCAGGTCTGAACCCTGGCTCTGCCAAGTTTTGGCTGTGATACTTGGACAAGTAGCTTAATGTCTCTGTGCCTCAGTTTCCTCATCTGTGAAGTGGAGATAGTAATAGTCCCTGTTTCCTGTGGTTTGGAGGACTAAATGAGTTCACATACATAGAGCATGTAGACAGCATATGGCAAAAGTAATAATAAATGGTAGCAATTGGTGGTAAGAGTAGGATTAACTAGGAAGTGATAATTAAACCACATATCATTCCATGCCTACAAGACTGGCCAGTGTCAGGAACCCTGACACTTCAAAGGCTGGTGAGATGGGGGAGACAGGAATTGTCACACACTGCTAATTGGAGCACAAATTGGTACACCTTGAAGAGCAGTTTGGCAATATCTAGAAAAATTGGTACAGCCACCTTGAAGAGCAGTTTGGCAATATCTAGGAAAATTGAAGATGCCCATACTATGTGATTCTAGATCGTGTGTGTGTGTGTGTGTGTGTGTGTGTGTGTGTGTGTGTATGTGTGAAGAGCAGGAGAGATATGCACACTATGGTGATATTTATGTAAATGATTTTTTAAAACAGTAAAGGCAATACTGTATTGTTTTCATGCATATATACACATGTAGTATAAACATAAAAACCAGTCACTGGAAGCATACATGGCATGCTCAGGAGAATGGTTGACTCTGCAGTGGGAGGAGAAGATGGACAAAGGACACCTTCAATACTGCTGTACGTAGTAGGGAAAAATCTGAAGCAGAAATTACTCAATGTTCCCATTTGTTAACTTCATGATAATTTGTTTCATTATTCTTCCTATTTTTCTGTATTTAAGTTTTTGAAATGTTTTTTGGGGGGGCAGGACAAAGAGGAGAAGGATGTTGGATCAAGTGAAAAGGGGTTGGCCTGGTGTTGGGTGGAGTGGGGGGAGCGGAGAGGCCCACCCCATGGGGTCCTGCCTTTCTCCAGGACCAAGGGGAAAAGAAGTTTAGGCAGGTAGATGGGAAAGCTGAGGCTCAGAGAGGTTAAGCGACCCATCCAAGATCACATAGCTGGTGGAGCATCCATTTGGACTATCAGCTCCAAAGCTTGAATGCAACCAGCCCTGGCCCGGGGGCCCCAGCCAAGGCCAAGGGAGCCCAGCAGCGGGAGGGGGAGGTTTTACATGCAGCCCAAGCCCATTTGTCTCTGTGATATAATCATCCCAACAACTGCCTCCCACTAGGACAAGAACAAGCAGTGAGAGACCCTGGAGTAAATTCCACCTAACCAGACAGAGGGGAGGAAGTAGAGGAGGAGGGGCTGCCATGGCCGAGCATCAGAGCAGTGCCCTTCAGGAACAGCTGCTGCGGCATGTGGGGTTGGCAGCCAGGGCCCCTACTCTAGGAGAGGAAGAAGGTGAGGCTAAAAAAGAATTGAGGCTGCACACGTCATCAGTCCTGGGGTCACCTGCTGCAGGGGAAGGAGTGCTCTCTGGGTCAGGACGCTGATCTCTGTATGGCCCCTCCCTTCTCAGGACCTTAGTTCCCCTTCTGTAAAATGGGGCCATGCCACCCACCGAGCCTGTGGCCCCTTTTGCTCTGCTGATTGGAGTTTGGGGGATTCCCTGCAGGGCCCTGGCAGCCCTGTCTCCACCCCTTTCAATCTCCTCCTCTGACCCTCACACAGCCACTACCCTGCGCTGCCGCTGGAATGCTTCACGCGCCACTCATCATTCTCCTTGCTTTAAAATGAGACACACCTGAAAGCAAGACTACGCGGAAAGAGGACTGCAAGTCATAACATCAGCGAGTGGCGATGGTATTTCAAAGCCATCAGGCTGGAAGTCACAAAGTCTGATGGCACTGTCAGCAGAGATGTGATGAACAGAAACTGTCATACACAAAAGCAGACTGTAAATCAACCCCACGGGTCCACAGGCCTGGGGTCAAATCTCAGCTCTGCCATGTACTCACTGTGTGGCTTTGGGCAAGTTACTTAGCCTCTGTGAGCCCGTTTCCCCATCTGTCAGTGGGTGTAAGAGCCTTACCTATCTCGCAGAGCTGTGAGGATCAGGGAGGGGATGTGTGCACAGTGGCTGGCGTAGTGCCTGCAGCGTGGTCGCTGCTCAGCAAATATCAGCTGGCCGCCTTCCATCGTCCTCTTCCCTTGAGGGTCGGGGTGTGAATCACAGGGGCTGTGGTTCCAGGAAGTTCAGGATTGAGGCACTAGGGCCTCTTCTTCGTCTTGCCAAGTCTCCTGGCTGTGGTTCCCTCAAGGGGTCCTGGTGACAGCCTGAGCCCTGGGTAGGTGCAATGCCCCCGGCACAGCCGGATGTGGCTGGACCTGGCCTGGAGCAGGAGTGCAGAGGAAGGGCATCTTTATCATAAAGAAGCATAAAGAACCACAGAGTCAAGGAAGGGCAGAGCCTACAGGGCATGAATTGGTCCAGGAATGGCAAATGGTCATCATGTCTGACACTATCTCCAGTCTTAAACCTGTGCTGGCTGTCACTCATCATCCTCACCTCAGAATCCCTCTGCACCCCGTGTGCCAGACAGCCAACCAGTTACAGTTGACATGTGAAATAAAATCTAGTTAGTGTCTTTAGCAGAAGCCATGGGTGCCCTGCCCATACCCTCCGAGCCTTCCATGCCAGGACACAGAAGCCTAGCTTGCAACTGCCAACGCTGGCGTCGCCTTGCCCAGGACAGGCCAGTGGTGCCAGGAATTAACACCCTCTGCCTGTTTTCTGCCAATTGCCAGCAGGAGCTGGAGGACAAATACCCCAGTTCTCCCCGCCTGGAGTGCAGAAACCCTGAGGGGCATCTTCTCCCTTGGCTTCCTGAATGCCCCAGCAGGATGTGATGCCACCTGCCACATGGAGCTTGCTTGCTAACACGCCCCTGTTGGACCCCTCCCTGCCCAGTCCCCTCCCTCCCTCCTGACTGGTGTTTCCTAAGATCATTCCCAGTTAAATCCACTTGCTCTCAAATCTTGTCTCAAGGTCTGATTCTGGGGAACCTTAAACTAAAACAACCCCCTCATCTAGTCATCTCTACCTTTATTTCATGGGTGAAGAAACTCAGACCCAGAGAAAGGGAGGGATTTGCCCAAGCTGGAGCCAGCGGCGGGCCCTCATGAGAACTCCGTTCTCCTGGCCTGGAGTTCAGCTCTTCCCCACGCTACTTGCTCCCCCCGAGTGCTGCCCCTGCGTCTGCACACCCCATTTTCCTGCCCCCCATGGATTCAACATTTTATTTCCCAATGCAAAAGAGAAGACAATCAGAGGCAGGTTGCAGGGGGACCTTCCCTGCAACCCCAGAGCCTGTTTCTGGAAGTGGACACTTCTCCTCCTCCCTTGGTGCAGGTCCTTGGACTCATCCCTTAAGCCCCCTGGGCCTTGGTCTGCTCAGCAGTGGGACAGGCAGCTGGGGAATCTGCTACCTGCTGCGTGGATAGAAAGGCTTGCTCAGGGAAGCAGCCAGCGCACCCTCGCCCTACATTGGGCACCATCTAGGGAAAATTAAAATGCACATTGCCACGTTTTTTTAAAGAGTGATTTAAAATTATATTTTCTTTATAATCTTAGTGTAAAATGCATATTCTTTCAACCTAGATGACCTATTTAGTTGAACAAAGAGCATCAATGAAAAAATGATTCCTACTTTCTAGCCACTGAAACATTAATCCTGCATATGTCTGCCTGCATCTTCACTCAGCTAGCGGCCTGAAATCCTCCCTTCTCGTCTTTTTTTTTTTTTCCTTTTGAGACACAGTCTCGCTCTGTCACCCAGCTAGAGTGCAGTGGCATCAGCCTAGCTCACAGCAACCTCAAACTCCAGGGCTCAAGTGATCCTCCTGCCTCAGCCTCCTGAGTAGCTGGGACTACAGGCACGTACCACTATGCCTGGCTAATTTTTTTTTCTATTTTTTGTCAAGCCAGGGTCTTGCTCTTGCTCAGGCTGGTCTCAAACTCCTGACCTCAAGCAATCCTCCTGCCTCGGCCTCCCCGAGAGCTAGGATTACAGGCTTGAGCCATCACCCAGCCCCTTCTCATCATTAATTCAGAGGAAAAAGTACAACCTGAAAAGTTCTTGGGTTTAAATCTTACCCGTCCCTCCTACTGTGTGACTCTGGGCAGTTTCTCCCTCTCTGAACCTCATCTGTAGACTGGGATGAGGGTGCCAACCTTGGAGTGTTGCTGTCAGACTGCGGAGCTGGGAGATGCCTGGCCCCAGCGGCAGCGGGAGGGGACTGGCCGCAAGGGAGGGCGCGGCCTGGGCCAGGCCTCCTCCCGGCCCTCCCCTAGGCTGCTGGGTGACAAGACAGGGAACCTGTGCTGAGTTCTCTGTACCTGGCCCCAGTCCCTGGAGACATGAACAAGGTCTTCCCCCAGGTGAGAGCGGCTGGGCTGACCAGGCTCCTGCCCTTGAGAGAGCGAACCCTGGGGGAGGGGCGGGCAGTAGGAGGGATACGAGAGAGACTGAGGCAAGCAGCGGCCACCTGGCCCTGGGGCCCACTGCCAGGTGATAGGGGACCCAGCTACACAGGAGGGAGGGAGGCCCGGGAGAGCGTCAGCGTCGTGGGGCGGAGGGCATCAGGGAAAGCTGCCAAGCCAGGTGGGACAGGAAAGGAAAAGGCGTCCAGACAGGGGCACAGCAGCGTGTGGCCGGCGGAGCAGGCGTGGTGAGTCTGGGGTGGTCAGCGTGTTCGGCTGGGGGACCTGTCGTTCCTCCTAAGGCTCTCCGCAGTCCAACATCCTGAGGCTGGACCTCCCCCACCTGAGCCCACCGTCACTGTGTTCTCTCGGGCAGGGACATCATGGCAAGGCAGCTGCTGGAACCAAAGCCGTCCCCGGAGGGGCAGGTAAAGAACTGGAGGGCTCGGCCACCCCCAGCAGGGGCTCCCTGGTTTCTGGGCAGTTGGCTACAAAGCAGGTTCCAGGCTCCCGCTGTCCCCCAGACCCTGCCTCATGTTGATGTCACCTGCTCCCAGTCTCCTGGCCAGCGGTGTGGACAGCCGCCTGCTCGTGGGGTTCCTCCTCCTCTCTGGGCACGCTTTCCCCGGAGCCTCCCGAGCGCTGCCCACCTCACTGCCCGCCGGTAACAGGGAGACCTGGGCAATTTTCTTCACCTCTGGGGGATGCAGTGATATGCTATTAGCCCTTCTCCGTGCCACTGACCCACTGTGCGACCAGGACAGCTCTCTCTGCCTTTATGGAATAGAGGAAGGACAGAACACACATTTACTGAGCATCTCCTATGTGCCCCGTCCTGGCCCACATGTGACCAATGAGGACAGACCCAGAGAGGGGGTGACAATAACAGCTGTAAAGGCTCGAGCCCCTACGGTGTGCCGGGTGCTGTATGTCTCTTTCAGTCCTCGGGACAGATCTGTGAGGGGCCTGTCACCACACAGTAACAAGAGGCAGCTGAGGCTGAGAGAGGTTGGGTAACCAGGCCAACATCACACAGCAGGGAGGTTGGGGGCGGAGTTCAAATTCTAACTGAGGTCCCTCTGGCTGCAAAGCCCCAGTGCCTTTGTTGCTCCACGCAGGTGTTTGTTTCCCTCCACTGCGGGCAAGGCTGTGGCAAGAGCAGCCTCCTTTTCTCCGCCTGTCCGGGAGGGGACTGGCACCCAATGGCTTTCTGCCGTGACCCCACCTGCTCACGGCCCGTGCTGCACAAATATTTGAGGAGTGCTCCCTGGCTGGCCACTTGCCTCTCCCTACCCAGCATCACGCGGTCTCCTTGGTTACCTGAGTTTACCCTGTGTTTGCTGATGACAAGAGAGCCACCAGCCACGGCTGTGGAGCTGATGGGGTTTAGATTTATGCTGCATCTCCTAATGTTGTCTCCCTTCACACCCATCCTGGGCTCCCAACAGGCCAGGCCCCTACTGCCCCCTCGTGCCCTCTGCCTGGAAGGCCCTCCCGTCACCTGCCCGTGGAAATCCCACCATGCTTCCACGGACCCTGCTTCAGAAACATTAGTGGATTGAATGGAAATGACCCGAACTGACCCAAACTGGGGGCCTCCCCTTGCTTCCTGGATCTCTGGGTCACCATATTCACAAAGTGTTCATAAAGTATCTACTGTGTGCCTGACTCTGGAGTGCCATCCCTGGGATCACAGGGCTGAATCAGACCTGCTCCTGCCCCGTTCTCTGGGGTGACTGTGGCCTGGACAGGACAGAGCTCACGCCGTCCTTCCTGCGTGTCCATGCCTTGCCTTCTAAGCGCAACCACAAGCTTTCAGAGCGCACGGACCAGAGCCACAGCTACTTTTGTGCCCTCTACAGAGCAGGACACCTGGTGGGTTGTCAAAATATGTTCTGTCACTATTTTGTAAGCAAGCGAGAATTAAAGGAGTGAAGTACAGATCTATGAGAGCAGGGACGTCTCCTATCACTGCTATTTCCACAGTACTTAGAATAGCACTTGGCACATAGTAGGTGCTCAGTAAACACTAATAATGGCCCACACTCAGCACTTACTACATGCCAAGCACTATTCTAAGACAACTCAACAAACTCTAATCCTCTTAACAAACTCTAAAGTAGCTATTATGATCCCCATTTTCCACTTGAGGAAACTGAGGCACAGAGAAGTGCAGTGACTTACTCAACGTGGCCCAGCTAGGAAGTGGTGGAGGCGGGATTCCAACGAGCATCCCGGCGGACTCCAGAATAGATAATCAGTTGGAATCGTGAAAAGGGCACGGGTTTTGGCATCAAACAGGGTGGACTCACACCCAGCTATACAAGGGGTGACCTGGACCCTTTCTTCTCTGAGCCTCAGTTTCCTCATTGATAAAATCAAGGGTGGTTTTGAAAAATAAAAATAATAGCTACAAAGAGGCTGATGTAGTTTCTGCCCCATGGTTGGGGCTGGATGTGCAGGTGTCCATCTCCCCCTGCGTCCTGGGGAGGCTGCCCCTTAGCGGGTGGGAGAGGGAGGGCTGTGGCGCAGAGACGGGCCCTCGTCATCCGCCCTTGCCACTCACCAGCGGTGGGACCCGGGCTAGGGATGGGCACTTGGCGGGGGTCCACAGGCACAACCGAGCCATGCTGTGCAGGGCATAGGAGCCCCCCCTCCTGGGAGGCCCTCCCTGCCCTAGCCTACCCTGGCGGGGGAGGGGGTGCTCCCAGGGTCAGGGCGGGAGGGGTCCCCAGGGCCCAACACCTGCTGCCCGTGACTGCCGCCATGGGCTTGCGTCCCACCCACACAGAAGGCTCCAGTCCCCTCTGCTGCTCGCGTCGCGGGGCCTGCCTCTCGGCCTCCGTGCTGCTGCTGCTGGCAACTCTAGCGGCCCTCATCGCCCTGGCCACCATCCTTGGACTGCCACCACGCATGCCAGGTAAGGGTGGTCACAAGAGGGTGGGGAGACGGTGGGGGCACAGAGAGATGGGGAAGCCCTGACCCTGCCTGGCTTCTGTACTAAGTGACCTTTGGACCAGTCCTTAAGGTGCATACACACACACTGACATATACCTGTCTCTGAGCCTCCATTTGCATTTCTGTGACAAGTTCTTGAGAGGACCCAATGTCACCTTCACCAGGAAGCCTTCCTGGCCGCCCCTCGGGCTGGTTGAGGAGCTTTGTCTCAGTCCCTGCAGCCCCTGCACTTCCTCTTCCCCTGGCCTGGCCGGCCTGGGCGGTGAGGTCCATCCGTGTGCTGCCCTCCAGCACAGAGGACAGGTCACGTGCAGAACAGCCCTGCAGCGTCGGCGTCAGTGGCGCCCACCCCAGCACAGTCCCTGTCCTCTGGGCTGACTGGAGAGCAACATGGACAAGAATCCGGATAGTGAGCACGTCAGGGCAGGGGGCTCGGGGGCTCCGAGAGTCTGCGATGGGGCTCTCACCCGATCGAGGACTCTGGGTGGACACCTTGGGAAGGTGAAGGGGAACTGAGGCATGAAGGGAAAGTAGGAGTTGGTTAGTAGGGGCAGTGCCAGGAGAACCACCCCAGGCACAGAGAACAGCAGGTGCAGAGTCCCTGTGGGGAGGGAGGAAGATTAGACGACCCGGGGACTTCGTGGAGCCCGTGGGCATGAAGGGCTGGAGCGGTGGTGGGGCAGGTGGCCCAGGCCTCGCAGGCTGCGCTGGGGAGGGAGCCACCATCCGGGAGCCATGGGAAGGGGATTAAGCTGGGCGTGGGGTGTCACCAAATCTGCCTTGCTGAGGGATGGCTCTGTAGTCAGCAGGGCAGGTGTAGGGGGACAAGGTCAGAGGTCAAATCCACAGTGCCCTCCCTGCCTGAGCAGGACGTGGGCACCGAGGGTAGACGTGCACACTTCAGGAGCCGCAGTCACATGCCTGTGCGCACCTGTGTGTGTGTGTACGTCTGTGAGTGTACTGCACAGGTGTCCGTGTGTGCAGGGACGTGTGTGTAGGAGTGTGTGTGTCGGTGCATGCACCTGTTGTCTGTGTGCGACTGTGCACCTAGGTGCAGATGTCTGTGTTTGAGCACGTGTGCATCAATGTGCACGTGTGTGTGTTGGTGACAACGCGATTGTCCCTAAGAGCTGGCCCCCCTCCCACCAGCCGAGCAGCTCTAGGAGCTGAGAGGCGGTTCGCACGTGCTCGAACACAAATGCCCAGCGCCCACGCCCATTGTGCGCACGTGCACGCGCACAGGCTGTGGCCAGGCCGGCCTCCTGCCTGTCTGCTGCTTCCTCTCCTGTGATCCTCTGGGGCAGCCCGAGGGGTGTGTGTCCTACCCCTCCCCCGTGGGGGCTGATGATGACGCTTCACAGGGGTGACCAAGGGACAATAGAATAAAAATATGAATGTGCTTTGCAGACTGTGAAGTTGTGCCCAGATGTAAGGGATTATGACATGTGATCCCTGGGACAGCTCTGACAACCTAACCCGGTACCAGGAGACCTACCATTAAAACCACTTCATTGAGGCCGGGCGCTGTGGCTCACGCCTGTAATCCTAGCTCTTGGGAGGCCGAGGCGGGCGGATTGCTCAAGGTCAGGAGTTCAAAACCAGCCTGAGCAAGAGCGAGACCCCGTCTCTACTATAAATAGAAAGAAATTAATTGGCCAACTGATATATATATAAAAAATTAGCTGGGCATGGTGGCGCATGCCTGTAGTCCCAGCTACCCAGGAGGCTGAGGCAGAAGGATCACTCGAGCCCAGGAGTTTGAGGTTGCTGTGAGCTAGGCTGACGCCACGGCACTCACTCTAGCCTGGGCAACAAAGCGAGACTCTGTCTCAAAAAAAAAAAAAAAAAAACCACTTCATTGAACGGGACACTGTCCACAGAAGCCTCCCGTGAGACTGTGAACAAGTTTTCAATGAAGGAGAGAACATCTATTTATTCTGCACATTCTCTGTTCTGTGCTTGGTCACAGAAAAGCTTTATTTCATCCCCCAGCAGTGCTATGGGGTGTGTGCTATGATCCCCATTTTGCAGACAAAGAACCCGAGGCTCAGAGAGGTCAGGCCATGTGCCAAGGTCAAGGAGCTGCAGGCGGTAGAGCTGGGGCTTGAACCCCATCTCTGGCACGAGTCCAGCTGCTCCCCACTGCCCCAGCCCCTCAGGCCAGCCCAGGGTGGGGCTCAGGTGAGGGCACACAGGCAAGTTCGACGGCAGCGACGCCCTTGCGGGCACCACCGGTGACCCTCTGGGGCCTCCCTGCCCACTCAGGGCCCCAGGCCTGTGCAACACTGGCGAACAGGACAGGCTTCTTGTGCCACGACCGGAGGAGCTGCATCCCGGCCAGCGGGGTCTGTGACGGCACCCGCACTTGTCCCCACGGCGAGGATGAAGAGGAGGGCTTGTGCCGTGAGTACCTGCTCGGCCCTGCCCCTGCCTGATGGGCCCTCCCAGGGGTTCCCCCGTCTCCAACTCTCCCTGCAGCCATACAGAAGCTGGGCCATGCCTGAACATAACAGGCACTTCCATGCCCCCATGCATTTGATTATATACATGGTGCCTTCAGCCAGGAGCGCCTGCCCCACCCATCTAGTCAGCACACACGTGCGTGCCCACACTAAGGAGTGTCTCCACTCTGTGCCTCTCCTCTCCCAGAGAACCCCTATTCATCCTGCAAGGCAGAGAGCAAGTGCTACCTCCTCCAGGAAGCCTTTCCTGGCTCCCACATTAGGTTAAGGGGTTAAGGTTCCTCCTCTGGGCTCCCACAGCCTCTGTGCTTCCCTGTGTCCCAGCCCTAGTCACACTGGTTGTCACTCTCGATTGGCACACCTGCCACCCCCATCAGACCATGAACTCCTCTGGGGCAGGCCTGGTCTGGGGCCTCAGCACCTGGCACAGAGGGGTACCAGAATGACTTGCTAACTGAATGGGGGAATGAATGAATGGGAAGACCTGGCCCCAGACCTTAGAGACCTGAAGGTTCTCAGGAGAGAGGAGATGTGGTGTGTGGAATAGGTATTAAAAGCACAAATCGTGCCTGGAGCCGGGGAGACAGCCAGCCTGGTGAGTTGTAGTGGGTGGGTTAGGGGAGCAGGCGGGGGAAGAAACTTGCATCACAGATTCTTGAGAACAGAAGAAATCTTCAAGGCGTCTAGTCCATGCCCCAGCTCATACTGAACCCCCTCTCTCGCAAGCCCAGCAGACAGACGCCAGCCAGCCTCTGCTTGCATACTCCTGGGATGGGGAGCTCACTACATGGGCAACCACTTCCAGAATTGGATGGTTCTTTCATGGAAAGATCTTCCTTGTCCTGAGCTTAGGGCTACCTCCTGGTAGTGCCCCAGATTGGTTCCAGCTCTGTCCTTTCCTCAACCCCTGCCCCTTTTAATCCCTCTCCCATGGCAGTGGCACTGCATGGATTTGGAGATTGCTCTCTTGCCGCCCCCAAGCCCCCACTGAGTGTCCCCTTCTCCAGGACACACCCTGAACTACAGCAGCCACCTCCCTTGTGACCAGTTCCTGGAGCTCCCCAGTCTCCAGTGCCCCACAGGCCTCATGCCAACTGCCCATGTCCCTCTCCCTGGACAGGCCCCAGAAGCATCCATGGCCCATCTGGCTGGTCTGGCAAGTCCAAGGTACAGAGGCTTGTCCCCTCCCTGACCTGGGTTTTACACCTCTAGTGATATGGCCTGAGTCTGTGGGCATTTGGGGAGCCTGTCACACTGCTGTCCAGCACAGACCCATTTTCAAGAAAGGTGCTCTGACTCCCTGTCACGCGTGTGACCCCTCCGTGCGCTGAGCTCTGAGGTCGGGTGTAAGACTGCACATTTATTCTTGTTATGTTCCAGTTGGAGGAGGCTTCCTGGAGGTGAAAGGACTTGAACCTGAACTTGAGAGTGGAATGGTTTTGGCTTAGTGTCCCAGAGGACTTTCAGGAGGGAGGAAGAGTACACGCGACCGTGTGGGCGGGAACGTGGGGGAGCCTGGCGGCCGGGCAGGAGCCGGGCAGGAGCCGGGCAGGAGCCGGGCAGGAGCCGGGCGGCGCGGCAGCTCTCAGGTCCTGCTGCTTATACAGGGAAGAGCATGCCTTTCCCTCGGATCCAAACTCCCACCCCAGGACAGCTCCGTGCCCTTCCTGGGTCGGACAGGCGGTGACCACAGGCTGTGGACTTCCTCCTGTCCCATCTGTCCCTCTGCAGGAGACGTGCCCCACAGCCTCCCCAGCTTCCTGGTGGCCCACTGTGGAGACCCGGCCTCCTGGATCTACTCAGACCAAAAATGCGACGGGACCAACAACTGTGGGGACTGCTCGGACGAGCTGAGCCCAGGTGGGGGTCTGGCAGGGGCTGTGCCAGAGCAGGTGGCCAGGCAGCGGCCAGGGGGCAGAGGCTGACCAGGGCATGTCCAAGCGTCCTCCCTGGACACCGTCCCTGCGCCCTAGAAGGAAGTTTTCTCCCTCTGCTTGAATGCTGCCAGCGGCAGGGTGCTCACTGCCACTCCAAGTGGCTCCTCCCGGAGGTTCGCTCTCCTGTGGCGGGGAACATACCTCAAGGGCACAGACGGGAACACCTGGACCCGAAAGGTGGCCATGCAAAAACATATGTATGTGGCACAACTGGGATTTGAACCTGGGTTTCCCTCATCTCCGTACCTCCCAAAAACCCTGTGAGGAAAGCGGGGCAGGAATCACCAGGCCAAATTTATATGTAGGTAAACTGAGGCCTCAAAAGGAGAAGGAGCTTAATACAACGAGTGACAGGGAGGGAGCCTCTGTAAGCCAAGGTCTCCCAACTCCAAGTACATGGTCCTTCCACTGCCCCAGAGTCTCCTCTCAATCCCTTCCCCAGTGTTCAATCAACAAACATGTTCCGAGCCCCAATGGGGGCTGGGCCTGTGCCAGATTCTGGTGGAGGACAGTAAGGGACCAGGCATGTATCCTACCCCAGGACTCGCATCATGGTGATGCCACAGGGAAATGCTGGGGCCCTGGAGGAATCCCAGGAGACTTCTCGGAAGAGGTGGCATTCAAGTAGGCCATAGAGTAGACGGAGTTTCAACAGGCAGAGGCTGGGTGGGTAAGGAGATATGCCAGAGGCCCGGGGCACAGAGCGAAGGAGAAGTCCAGGCGGCACCCCCAGGAGTCACGGTGGCTGAGGCTGGGGTTGCGGGAGGTAGTGTGCACTCCTTGACCACGCCTGGCACTTTGCCTGTCTTCCTTTACTTAATAACAACCTTAAGCAGATGAGGAAACCGAGGCTCAAACAGATGTGAACAGTCCCATAGCCCTTGAGCTGTGGCGTCCTGGTTCTCTCTGCTGCAGAAAACCCAGTCTGATGGGGGGAGGGGCTGTGGGGAGCTATAGCAGGCTTCAGAGCTAAGGAGTGCCCTGGTGCATGAGGCATTCCAGGACACAGCAGCTGCTCTTCTGCTGGCTCTTGTCTCCCCAGTGACTGTGTGCGCGCCCTGTGGCCCTGGGTGGTGGCACTGCTCTTCCACCGTTTTCAAGTACTGCGACTGCATCCCAAGGAGTCTCTGCCGGGACCGCGTGCAGCACTGCTCTGACTGGTCCGACGAGTACGCCTGTCCTGGACCCTGAGTGGACCACCCCGGCCGGCATGGAAGGCTGGCTGGAATGGCAATGACAGCCCCTCACATGAGCATCGAATCCTGGAGCGCGAGGGCAGGAAGGGGCCTTCGAAATCATCTCCTGGACTCTACACATCATGTCTGAATAGGAACTGTCTCTCCTGCTTTCAAGTTTTTCAGCCTCTGCTTGAATGCCCCCAACAACTGGGAACTCACTACCATGTTAGACAGCTTCTAACAAAGACAGGGGACTCTGCTCCCATGATTTGAGGCCTGCCTTTGAAGCCACACAGAGGAAATCTGCCACTCTGCTCCAAAACGGGCTTGCAGATTCTAATCTTGCCACCACTTGGAGAGAAGATAAGTCTGGGGCTTAAACGCCAAGCTGAGGAGTTGTCTTTATAGATGGCACACGCATGAAGCATGTGCCACTGCCTGACCCTTTGAGACCTCAGGCAGACATTGCTGGGCTTGGATGCAACCTTAGCATTTTTCTCAACTCAGTTACCCCAGCAGGCCCCGCTGATTAACACACGAGATTGCACACAAGTCAGGGCACTTGGCATCCTACCAGCGGGACGCTACCCCAGGCAGCTCTGAGCTGCAGAACTGAAGAGCTGGAGAGAGGGCAGCTGGAGGAGCTCCTCCCCGCCCTGTGTCCATCCCGTTCTCCACCCCACGACTCCCCACCCTCCACCCTATGCCCAGAGGCCCAGCTAAACAGCCCAGCTTTCTTGAAGTAGGTCCTAGAGCCTTGAACTTTGATCCTGGAGCCCAAATGAGCTGTTTCTCTGCATCCTTTTCCAGCTCCACAATACCCAAGCAGGCAAGGATGGATAGCCCCATTACACAGATAAGAAAACTGAGGTCCAGAGGGGGAGGTGACTTGCTCAGGATCATACAGCGAGATCAGTGCTGGAACTGGGACTCAAACATGGCCTATGACACCCTAGCCCAGTCGCCTTTCCAGCTACCAGTGCGATTATGCCTTGGCTGGGGCAGAGTCTCTGTGGGGTATTTGCAAATGTAGCTGGAGGGTCAGAAAGTGCCACACTCTTCTTCTGAAAGGGAGACTGGGCATCCTGAACCCTGAGAGGGTTCCTGTTGAGGAAGACAGACATATCCTTATTGAAAATTAATAAAATTGGTTTTACGTAACAGTTTCTTGTCAGTTTTTGAACAGAAATGGGCCTCCAAGACACTGGTGAGCTCTGGTTCATTCATTGCCTCGTTAGTTCACTCACTCCTCAGTCTCTGTGGACCAGCTGCGGAGCAAGCCGTGAGCAGGGCACCAGGCCCAGAGAAGAGACCTGGACCCAGCACAGGAGAAACGTGGGGTCCCATGGAGGAGGCACCTCCCCCATAGCGGCGGGTGGGACAGAGGGAAACACCAGGCTGAGGGCACCGAGGAGGGGTCTCTGGGAGGCAGGACAATCACGTTTCTCACCCTGACCACCTGAGGCCCAGCTCCTAGAACAGGGTGTCCTGCGTGAGGGGTGGCCAGCCCCCAGCTCGGGCAGCTTTGGCTGAGTGCTCTCCAGCTGTAGTGCCGGCAGGAGTGGCAGGAGCCTTTGGTGGCTCCTTAGTTCTGACACCAAATCAGAGGAGCCGTCCTTCCCGGAGGAGGAGGCATTTGGGCTGGCTCTGGAGGGTGGAGAATCTCTGGAGGTAGGGCTGGGGGAGAGGGGCCAGAGAGGACAGCATCGGGTGGTGGGAAGGAGCCAGGAGGAGAGGGGGTGGGAGGTGAGCAGGGCTGATCGCGGAGTGCACAGCATGCCACACTTCATCCCCAGCGCGGTGGGACATCACCAAGGGGCATTAAGCAGGGAGACTGGATCCACTGTGACCTCACACACTGACTGCACTAGAAAAAAAAATGTTTTTCCCTGGGGCCACAGTGTTTTACTAAACCAAAATGGGCCGGGCGTGGTGGCTCACGCCTGTAATCCTAGCACTCTGGGAGGCTGAGGCAGGAGGATTGCTTGAGCCCAGGAGTTTGCGGTTGCTGTGAGCTAGGCTGACGCCACGGCACTCTAGCTCGGGCAACAGAGTGAGACTCTGTCTCAAAAAACAAACAAATAAATGAAACAATCCTTTCTAATTTGTTCTTTTTTATTGTTTTCTGTGTGTGAGTTATATGCAATGCAATCCATGTTTTTAGAATTAAATTATCAATATTAATTGCAACAATAAGAATATCAACAAGTAAGATTTTCATGAACCAACTAGCCTGAGTTAAATACAACTCACATGCAGTTAGTTTATTAATTACAGCAAGCCCAAGAAAGATGCCAAGGACATGGGTCAAGTACACAGAGCAGAGGGGGTGGTCGAGGGCTATTTATTTATTAGTAGAACTCACGGGCCTCCTGGGAGTGGGGGGTGGGGGTGGAGGGAGTCCAGCATGCTGGGAAGAAGCACCTGGCCTCATGCCCTGGGCTGTGCTGTCTCCAACAGGATGCCAGTCTCAAGGGGAAGAGAGGGTTTAATCTGTCCCTGGGGACAAGGAAGTCCCAGAGGCTCATTTCAGCACTCAAATCCCAACATGTTCTAAATTGAGGAAGCCTTGAGCATTGGCCACAAAGCCAGGTAAGATCAGAGCATGAGCCTGCATTTGCTCATACCAAGTCGGCCTTGGGGGTTCAGGCAGGTGGAGAGCACCCATCTCCCGGCAGGGGCTGGTGGTGCTGCCACTGGGCCCCATGGGAGAGAAGCAGGTGGACCTCAGCAGTCATCCAGTCCTGGGCATCTTCGGTGACCTGTGGCACTTCTCGGATAAACGTCCAGAGGCATGGGCACCATAGGTTGCCTATGATTTTACCCTGCCCTCTCCCTTAACCAAACCCACCACATGCCCCTGGGGATTAAGATGCTTCATTTAGGCCAGGCACGGTGGGTCATGCCTGTAATCCTAATGCTCCGGAAGGCTGAGGTAGGAGGATCACTTGAGGCCAGGAGTTCCAGACCAGCGTGAGCAAGAGCAAGACCCCATCTCTACTAAAAATAGAAAAATTAGCTGGACATCATGGCACGCACCTGTAGTCCCAGCGACTCGGGAGGCTGAGGCAGGAGGATTACCGGAGCCCAGGAGTTTGAGGTTGCAGTGAGGTGGGCTCTAGTCTAGGCGACAGAGTCTCACTCTGTCTCAAAAAAACAAAAATATCTCCAAACTTGGTGTTTGGGAAAAACTAACAAACAAAAACCCAAGATGCTGCATTTACAGGACGGGGAAACCAAGGCCAAGCCAGAGCTGTGTCAGTGTTCGTCCAGTGGCAGGACTAGAAGCCAGGCATCTCGGGGCACACAGCGGGCGTTTGCCGAGCACTTGCCATGAGCCCGGCACAGTGGTAAGAGCTTTACCTTTAATCCTCGCAGCTGTGAGGTAGGTGCTGTTTTTAGAGTACCTAAAACCTCTCACGTAGAGAGGCGGGGCAGCTTGACTTGCGGGGACAGAGCCAGCTGTGCCCAATCTGAAGGCTGGGCACATGCCACTGTTTTACCCTGTCTCAGGAAGTCCAGGAAGTCTTCCTAGCAGAGGTGACGCCTGAGCAGGGCGGGGAAGGAGGATTCCGAGCGAGCGAGCCAGGTGGGAAGGGGGAAAGACCTTTCCAGGTTGAAGAGATGCTGGGGCCAGCGGGAGGGGCGCGGGTGGGCGGGGCGCCGTGCAAGGCAGGGGGGGCGCCTGGCCGCTGAGGGAGTGTGAAGCAGCCCGGTGCCGTGAGGAAGAGCCTTGGATTCAGGGCTGCAGAGAGGCTGTGGGATGCAGGCAGGGGTTTTGGGCAGGAGGAGGAACACATCCGATTCCCCCTTCTGAGGAGGAGGCTCTGCACATCAGGAACGAGGCTACAGTGCCAGACTCTCCTGCAGGCTTCCGGAGCACAGAAGGTGAGATCTGGAATGCGAACACCCTTTGGAAGCAGTAAAGCTCCGTGCATAAGGAATGGGTGCCAGGCGCTGTGCTAGGGGCTCTAGTGGATGTTTAATGAGCACTTAGTCCGTGCCAGGCACCATTGCAAACCTCTGTATGTTGTGTCTTTGGGATTTCATTTTCTGGAATCTTCACTTTGCAGAGGAGCAGAGAGATGAAGTTGGTTGCCTAAGATCATGCAGCTTTTAAGACATGGAGCCAGGACCCAGATAGGCCCAGGTCCAGAGCCCATCACAACCCCGTGTTGTCTCCGTGTCAGCTGCGTCTCCCTAGAGGGCACACGTGGAGCCCAGGCCAAAGGGCTGCAGCACGTAAACGGGAGGTGGCTGGCAGAAGAACGGGTCTTTGTCTTTTCTTGTTTATTGGTTCTTCCTTTCAGCAGGGAGCAGGTGCCATAGTGACTTCCCAAATAGCACTCCGTAGGCGGGTGCGGGAAGACACGGGGCCCAGGGCGGCCAGGCGGCCCCTCCCGGCTCGCATCAGCGGAGCAGCCCGGGTGAGAGCTCAGGCAGCAGCGTCAATATTTGCCATCTGCCAGCCTCCCTGGCCCCGGCCCCAAGACCAGTGCTTTAAGAACAACAGGTTTTTTGCTGTGCAAACATGCAGGGATAGATTAATGGAATTTAAAATGGCTTAGGCTGGGCCCCAGGGTTTGGACTAGAAATCTGGTCTGATTTAACCATCTGCCGTCACTGTTTGCCGGGGACTCTCTTTTCATCCTTAGACTCACAGAACCACATACGTTAGGGCTGGCAAGGACCTCAGGGCCCAGTCAGGCTTTTGACAAAACAGGACACTGCTTCCCGGAGAGGAAAGGGACCAGCCCAAAGTGGCACTGCCTGGAGGTTGGCACTGGGCTTCTGAGGGCCGCCCAGCAACTCAAAGTAGAAGCAACTTCCCTGAGTCCTGAATATATAAAATCACATTCAATGAAATGTACAGATCTTAAATGTATGATTCCATGAGGTTTTTAATAAAAAACAGCTTTATTGAGATATAATTGACATACAATAAGCTACACATATTTAAAGTGCATACTTTCCTAAATTTTGACACACGGAATCACTCATAAACTATCACAATTAAGACAGTGAACATATCCATCATGCTCAAAGTTTCCTCATGCCCCTTGGTAATACCCCACCCTTCCTTGACCCTCACCCCAACACTCAGGCAACCACTGATTTATTTTCTGTATCGAATAGTGTGCACTTTTCTAGAATGTTATATAAATGTCGTTTACAGTATATACCATTTTTTGTCAGCATCTTTCACTCAAAATAACTATTAAGAGACTCATCCATGTTGCAGCATGTCCAGTATTCATTCTTTTTGTTGTGGAGTAATATTTCATTGTATGGTTATACCACAATTCATGCATTCTAGGCTGAAGAGATGTACTCTTCACTTATTCATTCACCTATTGATGGACTTTGGGTAATTCCCAGTTTTGGTTGTTTCAGGTAAAGCCACTAGGTTCAAGTCTTTTTATAGACATATGCTTTCCTTTATCTACCTAGGAGTAGAATGGCTGGATATGATAGATATGTGTTTACTTTTTTAAAACATCATCTGTTTACCAAAGTGGTTGTATCATTTTACATTCCCACCATTAGAGGATGAGTGTTTCAGTTGCTCTAAATCCTTACCAACACTTGGTATGGTAAGCTTTTTTTTTTTTTTTTAAGAGACAAGTTCTCAGTTGTTGCCCAGCCTGGTCTCAAACTTCTGGCCTCAAGTGATCCTCCCACCTTAGCTTCCCAAAGTGCTGGAATTACAGGCATGAGACACTGTCCAGGCTGAGAGTTCTTTATATATTTCAAATACATATACTTTATCAGATAAATGATTTGCAAATATTTCTCCCAGTCTGTAGCTTATCTTTTCATTCTTTTAACAATGTCTTTCAAAGAGCAGGAGTTTTTTATTTTGATGAAATCCAATTTATCAATTTTTTTTTTTTTATTGGTCCGGGCATGGTGGCTCACGCCTGTAATCCTAGCACTCTGGGAGGCTGAGGCGGGAGAATCGCTCGAGGTCAGGAGTTTGAGACCAGCTTGAGCAAGATCGAGACCCCGTCTCTACTAAAAAAAAATAAAAATTAGCCGGACAACTAAAAATGTATATAGAAAAAATTAACTGGGCATGGTGGCACATACCTATAGTCCCAACTACTCAGGAGGCTGAGGCAGAAGGATTATTTGAGCTCAGGAGTTTGAGGTTGCTGTGA